GTAAACGCAGGGTCGGATGAGCACCAAACAGCTCAAAAGTGTCATCGCTATGCCCGATGGAGCGCACGGAAAGCTGCAGGGAACCCGGATGTCCAGACGACTACAAAATACCAAAATTGATCAGCAATATCACTAGTTAGCATAAACTCGTAAGAACGTAGATGACTAAATAATACATTTAAAACAATCCGTACGTAAAGACCTTTTCAAAGCCTAAACAAACATCTGCTTGCATGGACAAAAATCACCTAACAAGGAGTTACACCTTTCTACCACCTCTGAGTAGAAGCGTAATGCACGGCGCACACTCGGACCAAATCGATCGATGATACCGGAACTATGCTTTCACTCAGTTCAACGGGAATATCGGCATATTGGAGTTGGCGAATGAGTATCCTTATACTCTTTCTCGTAAGCCTCACCCTGAAAAAAGCTACCACCTCCAGAAAAAAAGCCCCGCGATTTCCACCCGGCCAACAGATCTGCTCCACCGCTAATTTGCCATGGAATCATAACGCGGCCGCAAGCGCTTGCGAGTCGTTACGTATCTAATCCTTCTCGTCAGAGCAAACAAGTAGAGCCGGAAGGGGGTCGTACAAGGATCCTTTGTGCGGGTAGGGGGTCGTACTGGGACCGACACTTCACACATCACGATGCTGTGCCCAGATTGAAGCTGCAAAAAAAGGCGAGAGCCAGGGATGAGCTTTTCCGAGGGGAGGAGACTACGGTGCTGGGTGAGTCATTTATCATGAGTCAAAAGTTGGAATGTTTAAGGTCAGTCATAGAATGGCATGCTCACCTGAGAGGGCAGAGAACAAGAGAAAGCTGACACGATCAAAAGGATTGAGTCCGAGTTGCACGTAAACTATTAGGAGTGCGAGTTTTCGCGGGAGGGACGGTCGGCATGCTAAGCCATGGATAGACCCGAGAAAGCACAACTTGGTGGGAGAAGGGCTAGCGCTTAGGAGCACAGCCTCCTTTTCGGCTGGGCTTACTTCTACCGCTAGTCCATTTATCGTGCCCTGGCAACATGCGAAGCTTTAAGTCCACATTTGTTCAAAAAAACTGTGGTCAATTCGGAATTGATTAATTTGAAAAAACTGTGCGTCAATTGGGAATTATTACGGATTAAAAGTGAGCTTTTCTAGTTTGACCTGCTCTGCGAAGACGGAAAAATGGTGAAGAACAGCATCTCCGTTCAAATGTTCAGTGTACTTGTTGGTGCAGTGGTTAGCGGTCAGCTCAGTGATCGATATGGAAGAAAGCTGGTAGCGATAATGCTTGAAATATTTGAACAAAGTTTATTTATGAGAAAGCCACGGACTTGAGAATTTGGGTCCTTTTGCTTCAGGTTCTGATTTCATATCTGTTTTTCGGACTGGGCCTGTTTTCACTGGCAACTATGTGGTCAGCGACATTCACGCAATTCAACGTAATTCGTGCTATCACAGGGTTCTTCACCGGCGGTGTGAGCCCGTGAGTTCTAAGAAAAGAGGAAATATTATCTGTTATCTTACTGCCAAAAATAATGGGTAAAGTGAAGCGTGAAATTGACGTTGATTCGACTCCCCCACCAGGCCTGTTACCTTTCCGTAGGAAATATTAGAATTGGCAAGATTCATTGGGGTGCGTTCATACTTTGCGGCAGCGTCCACCAGTGATCACCAGCGTCCATCAGCGACCATTAGCGTTTCGAGCATCCGTCATACAGTTGTCGGCGGACATAGGAAAGTATAGTTATCGATTTGTGAACGGTAGCATCTACAGCGTCCACCAGCGCCCATCAGCGCCCACCAGCGCTCACTAGAGATTATAAGCATCTGAAGGGCTGGGAAAGTATAGATGTTGATCTGTCGTCTACCATTGTCCACCAGTGACCAACAGCTTCCAACAACAACAAGGAGTTAAATATACGGGCGGGGGGAGGTTTAGAGGGGTAGTAAGGCAAGCAGCTTGGTACGCGTGGGTCATTAGAGGGGGGAGAAGACAGCAGGATTAGGCGTCGTGAAATCGTGGCGTGCGCAACCAGCACTACTACTACACTACTACCACGACACATACCGTACTCATAGACGGTGGTGGACGCTGGTAGACGCTAGATCGATATCCATACTTTCCTAGTCCTTCGCGACTCTTATGGTCTCTGGTGGACGCTGATGGACGCTGATGAACGCTGGTGGCCGCTGGTAGACCCTACCGTGCTGACGCAAGATATGAACGCAGCCTTAGGCTGACCGTAGCCACGGTAGCAAGGCCTATTTCCTCAAGGTTAGTATTGGTATATATTTCTTTTGAACTACGAAAAAAGTGAACCTTCAAAAGCGAACTGTAGTGGTTTTTAGAGCCAGTAACCTGATCCTGGTTTTTCCAGGGTCCTCGGTGTCTACTTGATAGAGAATATACCAAAAGATCACCGGATGTGGATAAATACCGTAGTAACGTGGTCGCCCAACTTCATCATCTATCCAGTCATAGCATACTATTGTCATGATTGGCGCAAATTGGCTTTCTTCAGCTTCGTTATTGCGGTCATCACAATAATCAACCTTCTGTAAGTTCTAAGCCAATATGTTCCCGGGTGCAGGCCTCGGAAATAGATTTCTTGCTCCATTACAAAACTTGGGAACATCTTTCATTTTACCGTACATACTTACAGTTTTCTTCACGAGAGCCCTCGCTGGTTGATTCAACATGGAAAAATTGACAAGGCACGTCAAGTCCTCACGAATATCAGGCACTTTGACGGCAAAACTTGCGAGAAAGAGGCTGCAGAAATCGAAGAGATGTTACGGTTTGAACAGCAGGTGAGCCAGCCCAGGACAAATTTTTCGTCCACTGGAACAAACCTCTTAGAGATTAAAAGCAGAGGGCAGGATGGCTGGAGGTGGGGGAAGACGGGCAAGAGAATCGTAGTGCCGCATCGTCGCGTTGCCATCGTGACGTT